CCCGCCTCCTCGCCGAGGTCTGCAGCGGGGGAAACGTTGGCACGTCACTTCAGCGCCCGTCAAAAGTTGTTCGCACCCAAACTGCTAACGCCACGCAAAGTCAAACATGTCGATACCGCACCTGTCTGTCTCGTTCTTTCAATCTGACAGAATGCTGACAATTCATGTATTTCCTTGTTATTCTCCAAAATTATTTCATCTTTCCTATCATCGTCTTAAGCAGCATATGGTACCTTTATATCGAACTGAATTAAACAAGAACAGAAACAGCTGTGTCAGCAGCTGGTCGGATTTCTCCTCTTGCTTAGCTCCTATTAAATATAGTTTTTCCCCCAAAAGTTTAGAAATGGCGGTGTTTGGTTGGATCTGATTAACTTATAAGAGGGACGAGCGGCAGAGTCTGCCACGGGACTGAGGCCGCATCGGCATCGTATGAAGCAACAAATGAAACGTAGAAAGCGTGTCTGCCGCGTCCCAAGGCGTGCAGGCCAGGGCTACGTAGGGGACGGGAGGAAACGACCCCAGACGGTCCTCTCGCCCTTGCAGGCTCCTGCCTGTGGCTGCTGTGACCTTGCGGGAGGGAGAAGGAAAAGTCTGGAAACGCAGTTCCTCGATCCGCCTGCGATGCACACAGACGCATCCACAGGCACGTGCAGGCCTGGCTGGAACTCCGTCACCGTGGAGCACGGAGCCCGAGAACCCGCCTGCCACGTATCGGCACCCGCGTCACTCCGGCTGCCGTTCGCTGTGGAACCCAACCCGTTAGAAGACGGAGTGAAATGCACGCTCGGCCCCTTATGCACGGAATGGATGGGGCACAGGGTACATAAGACAGTGGGAACGTCGAGCCTCAGGGTGGGGCCCGAGGCGGGCGGCGGGGCGGGAGCTGGGAGCTGTGTTGGAGGAGAACTGAGGGGACTGCGCTGACCGCCTCACAGACCCCGAGGCCCTGAGGCTCCGAGGCTGGCGGGGTCCTCGCTTGCTGCAGCCTCCGCCCACCTCAGGGCCTCACCTAGACCCCCTGTGAGAACAAGGGGACCCTCTGGGGTGACGACAGGCCTGGGCTCTGTGAGAGCAGAACGCACGAGACTTGCTCCACGCGAGCGATGGAAACGCCCTTTTCTTTTAAAAAATATTTTCATTTATTTCAGAGAGGAAGGGAGAGGGAGAGAGAGAGAGAGAGAGAGAGAGAGAAACATCAATGATGAGAGAGAATCATGGATCCCCTGCCTCATGCATGCCTCCCACTGGGGATGGAGCCCATAACCCGGGCACGTGCCCTGACTGGGAATCGAACTGTGATCTCCAGGTTCATAGGTCGGCGCTCAACCACGGAGCCAGGCCCGCGGGGCAGGCGTGGACGTGTGCCGCCCTGTTCCTGCGGGTCCTCGTGTTCCGTGATCTGCACGTGGGCACAGCCCCCAAGTCTCCCTCCAACAAGCCCTTAGTGACACGGCAGCGGGGCCGTCGGACAGTCAGGCAGAAAGGGACTGGACGGAGCAGAGCCGAGCTGGCGGGGGACGGTCCATGGCGGCTCCGGCTGCCCCTGCCCGGGCACCTCAGCGATGAGCACAGATAAGGCCGCAGCCTGGAGCGCTCAGTGTGTGCGAGGGGGGGAGGGGGGAGGGGGGAGGGCGCCTGACTGTCGTCACGCGGAGCGATGGCCTGGCTCAGCTGCCTTTCATCTCTCCATCGTGGACATGTGTGGCCCAATAAAGAGAATACATTTATAAGATAAACAGCTTTCTTTGCAGATTTAAGAATCTAATTTTCACTTTACACAGAAATGGAATTTTTTTTTTTTTGGAGGGCCAGAAGGCCCATGGCGTTTACTCTGAGACTAAATCCAAGTAGAAAAACAAACTCTGAGCGACGATGAAGGGGAC